GAAGTTCTGCAGACTGTAACACAACACTGATGATATCATTTACACATTTCTACTGCTTTATTAAAAAAAAAAAAGCAAAACAAAACCATGCAGGCTGTAAAGTGCAGCAGGACATTAATGCAATAGCTAGGTACCCGGGAAGAATCATTCAAAAGGAAAAGCAGCTTTTTTCACAGCGCACCCTTTCATTAGGAAGAAGGAAAAGGCTTGAAAGAGTCTTGCATCTTCTAATCAGAGGCCACACCTCTGGGAAATTCTGGTAAAAAACTTCCAGCCTCTCACAGAACCTGAGAGGGGTTGCTTCGCTTCTTGCATGAGTAAGGGCTGAATAGCAAACGTTCATTTTAGTTTTTAAAACATTTATAAGATATGATTAAAAAACTAATGGATAAGGAAGGGAATGAATCTCAAGTAGAGAAGAAAGACCAAAAGAAGTTTTTGTTTTTTTTTTAAAAAAAACAGCTAACAGACAAGCAGTGGAGTGGCACATTTTTCACACTGCCTCATACAATTTATTATCAAACCCATTTTAAAGGCCTCCAAATTTCATTTAGTTTCCATGAAGAAAACAACTTTCTAAAAGCCAAAGATGCTTATTGTGTGCTATGTCCCAACACTGACAGGAACAGTCTGATACGCAACAAAAGGGTCATTATGTCCAATTTCACTAAACAAGGCTGGGCAAGTCATTTACATATACTTTCAAATAAAACTGTCGTGTTTTGCCCATGCTTGCTTTCTACACCCCTCCTTCTGAGCAGATCTCCCTCCAGCATGCCTTTCTCAACATTTTCCTCCTTATTCTTTACTGTTTCTTTGTCCCTTTCAGTTTTCCTTTTTCAGCTCTTCTTGCTTGTATTGTTTCTTCCCAGTCCAGGTAAGTGTCCATCCTGGAAAACAACCAACCTGTCCCATTTAGCAGCAAAACAGACTGCAGAATACAAGTACTACATGCATGCATGAATACATATGTATAGATAGTTATGCATGAAGTGTCACAATTCATACACTTGTGTGCGTGTTCAGCACAAAGCAATGGCAGTGAGCCTAGCCAAGGGCCAACCATTCCACTTGTCTGATCCGAGCGTCCACATTAAGCTGCAAAGTGAAATTTAAGCAACATCCGTCAGCTAGAGGAATGCAATCATCAGACAAGAGGCACTGAACAGCACAGGAGACTGGTAATGTGTTGGCAGAGGAGAGAGCTTTTTGGGACAAAAGCTGGGAAGCAGCAGAATAGGCTTTGCCTTACCCTCAAAAACCGTTTAAACTCTTTTGGTACCATTAACATCTGCCAAGCTGCACAAATGAATTGTTTCATATAATACCTACTAACTCTACTGGAGTTTTAAAACCCAGTACAGAAAAAGTGCAGATTTTTGCATTTGCTGCGCAAAATACTAATAATGACTGCTACTCTGCAAATACAAACATAAGCATATGTTGTTGGGTGGGACTGGATGATGAAAACACAAGGAGACTGTGAGACCTTACTGATTAGTGTAATGGGGTCTTATCAGCTGATCTGTTGCCCAACTTTCGCAGGCATTAAGGCAAGGATAATAAGGAAGGGCTTGCTGAGGGATAATGAGACAGTTCCATAGTCAGGAGAAGCCAAGCATAAACAGGGAGGCCAACTGTCAGTTTTAAATGAGGCAGAAGGATGATTAAGATACAAAAGACCTTTACTTGCAAACGCAGCTTCAAAGAGACCTTTAGAAAGATTTTATTTTTTTAACCAAGTCTTATTCTCTGCCACACTCACATCTGTAAGTTTTGGGTTTTGTTGCTTTTTGGTGTGTTTTGTTTTGTTTTTTTTTTTTTACCATTGCAAAGGCTTCATGGTTGTGGAAAAGAGAGCAAAAAGAAACCTGCCCCCAGGGAAGGCAACAGCTCTTGGTTCTACTAACCCTGAAAGCAAGAAGATAACTGACTTTTCAACAGGCAACAGAACCAGTGTTTTGACCTTTCCAGCTCTTAGTCAGGGGAATATGGGAGCACTAGGGAATGTTGCCCTACTATGAAAGTTGTGATGCTGCCTTGCTTTCTTGAAAACAAATGCCACCATCCTACTAACACTTTCAAGCCTCAACACTTTTGCCTAGCACCCAAGAAACAGAAAGTGTATGATCATTCCCCACAGTTTCATGCCCTGGGACCACAGGGAAGGTTATAAGCACCCCAAAGGACGATCACAATTCTCTAATGAGCCTTACAGCACACATTGAGAAGTGGAGTCCTGTTGAAAAACAGATCCGAAGAAAAAGCTCGTTCTATACTCTAAAGCAAACACAGGATTTCTTTTTCACAATGGCATCAGCTAGATGGGGACAATCTTTCCAGATTCACACATCTGCCCTGAAAGACAAACTCAGGATGTGCTAAGAAATTTGAAGCAGTCCCCTTAAAAATAAAGTTAAAAAAAAAAAACAAAAAAAACAACCAAAAACCTTTCACCAAACAGTGTCTCAGAAGCATCTCTTGAACACAGAAATAATTGTTAATTCTGATTTAATCTCTACCATTATAGAGGGCTGTTATCTTCATTCTTGACATCTATCTTCAAGAGGTTTTTAAAACAACAAAACACCCTCAGGCTGTGACTTTATACATGAAGGTCAAAGTACACAAAAGGCTTTTTATGAAAATTGTCCAATTAGTAGATCCATCTAAGCTGCATGTAAATGTGGCGCCATTTTCTAATAACTAGGTACTTGAGAGGGAAAAACAGAAAACAAGTTTACCTCTTTCCCCACTTGCCTGTCTACAGCACAGCCAAAATAAGTTATGGAGACAGGTATGCTTTTTTGTTTGCACAAGAAGAGCAGGCTGGCAGCAAGTATGTGATACATTAACACACTCCTAAATGTTGTTTTACATAAAAAAAATAAATTGCATAATACAGTATAATAAAAATAAGTAGCCACACCTGAGCTTATTCCCATTTGCGAAAATCAGAGGTAGGTGATAAACTGGGTTACTTCTCAGTGTTCACAGGCATTTCAAATATTGCTCTTACCTTCTTATCAGAATTGTGGCTGTAATGATAGTAATCATACTGCTCTTAAAATTCTGCCTCTTGCCATACTGGGCATGACAGAAGAAATCTGAATCTCCTTAAACATAACACACCACCATTTACCAGTGAGTTCTGCTTGCCCCCTTCCTCCACATACCCTTGCTACCTTCTTCACATTAAGCAGAACTTGCTGGATCTCACAGTGAAGCAGAGGAAGCTCTGAGTAAATGAATCACCCTAGAAAACTGAACAGGAGAAGAGTTTTCTGCTGGGTTAAGTTCTTGAACTCACATAACCAGTAACAATGCAAGGAAGGCAGAAGAAACACAAGCCTGGAGCAAGAAGAAGGAAGCTGAACCTACTTGCTTGTGGATCAGCCCTAGCTATCTTGTGAAATCTCACCCTGAGAAAGCAAGGACAACTAGAAAGTAATGCCCATTGAAAAATGAGTATCCCATCGTAAAGTTTAATGAGAAACCCCCCAAGCTAAGTCTCAGAGGAATAGGAAGGCTCTGCTCCCTCTATATTCCTGAACTTCAGACTATTTGTGAGGCTCTTCTATCAGCATAACTCCAGTCATACATGAGATGAAAGGACACAGAGAAGTCAGATATGGATTTAAACTTCCTGAGCCCACATCACTGACTGCAAAACCCTTCAGTGCAGACTAGACATGCTGGCAGCATTAGTCCCCTTACAGGACATATTTTTAGTAGCCAAGCCCTTACCTAGTCCTCTTGAAAGTAGCTCCTGTGCTCCAGTGCTTGCCTTGTTCAGTTGTGTGAGATACGACACTAGTTCCTTAAAGAACAACAGACTTTAATAATTAAGGTCTCTCTTGGTGCTCAATGGAACAGCATTTTCCTCTGACAAAGAGCATCTGTGAAAACCTGTTGTTACCGCTGGATAGTTTTCTCAGAAATGCCTTTGTCATTCAGAAAGGAAATGGAGCACAAACCAGAGGTGCACAGAGAAGCCCCCATGTTGCTCACTTCCCACTCTGCTCTTTGAACTCCCCTGCAGTCACATCACAAACACCTCAAAGAAACATGCTGGACCACACCAGCACCATGATGAAGAATGGCTACTAGGGCAGCACATCCAAAGCTACTCGCTGTCTCCAGGGAAAGCTGGGACCCTTGGGAAATCCTGATCAACAGAGGGAGCTTCTGTTCCTCACAGAGTGCTGTCAGTCTGGGACACAATTCAGCACCGGCTTGCATGGCTAAGACCTGCAGATAAAGTTACGGTCCTCGGGCACAAAGCACCTGTAACAAAGTTTAAGTCACGACCTGAGCAACTGTCCTCATCCTTGTTCCAAAGGCAGGCTGACTTGTGCCAGACGCCTGGAAGACTGAAGTAAAATAAAGGTTTGGCAGGTCTCTTTCCACAGGACAAGCCAGGATCACAGAGGAACCTGGTGTGCGGTGAGAGGGGTGGTGCTGCTGAGCCCACCTGCCCACCTCCTGTCCCTGTTTCCCTTGCTCCCCTTCCAAGACCAAGGCACTACCTTGAAGTTTAGACATACACATGCTTTAACCAGACCTCATTGCAGAGAAAATAAGCTTACGGGAACGAGCAAGTGCTGCCAGACACCACCGCTCACAGCGAGACACCTTCCGAGGTGTACCATCGGGTTTACCGATGCCCGACGGAAGCGCTGAAAGTTGCGTGTGCGTTTAGAAACCACCAGGTAACACCGGGGCAGCCGTGCTGCGCAGCCGGAGGCGGCGAGCGAGCGACAGCGTGTGCGTTAGAAACAAAGCCCCGGCGGGCAGCCTGAGCGCTCCCCTCCCGCCGACAGCCGCGGCCGAGCGGCCAGACCCCCTGTTCCCAGGCAGGGCCCGGGCCGCACCGGAGCGGAGCAGAGCAGAGCACAGCAGAGTAGCGGCAGCCCCACAGTCGCCGCGGCACCTGCACTCGGGCGGCGGAGGCCGCATGAGGCCGTGCGGGTCCGGTGCGGTGCGCGCCGGGGTCTCACCTCGTCGCCCCACTTGAGGACGTCCTTGTGCCGGTCGCGCAGGGCGCGGTAGATGTGGAGGAACTGGAGGATGCCGTGCTTCCGCACGTGCTCCGCGTACCGCCGCGTCTCCTCCCAGCTCAGCGGAGAGCCCTGCGACAGCAGACCCATGCCGGCCCGCGGCGGAGCGGAGCGGCAGCGCACGGAAGGTGAAGGGAACAGACGAGCGAAGCCTGCGCGGCGCGGGCTGAGGGCTGCGCTCTGCGCCCCGGCGGCAGCGGGAGCGGAGCCCGGCGCCACACGTGACGGCACAGGACGTCAGGCCGTGACTCAGCACTTTCCGCCGGCAGGCCCCGCCCCGGTCGGGGCTCGCTGAGGGCAGGCTGAAGCGGTGCCCAGCAGTTGCGGCGCTGCTGCCGGCTTGGCGGCCGCGGGCGTCTCTATCCCAGCGCTCACGGGACTGGGGAGGAAGGAGGCGCCTCGGGGAAAGCAGCCTCAGGGGAAGTCGCGGCTTCGCAGTGCTCGTGTGCGTGCGTTGCTGCCCCGCTCGTTGCCCGACGCACGCCCCGAGCGCAGGAGGAAGTGTCCCTTCGCCTTCTGCGGAAGGCCTGCTGAAATGGCGGCGGGAAGATGTCCGCCCCGGTGGCGAGGGCGGCCCTGCCTGCGGCCAACGGTGCAGGAGCGGCGAGTCAGGCTGGTCGGCCTGGTCTGGATAGGGTTCCTGGTGGAAAGGGACCCTGGTGTGGCTAAAAGTGCCTAAATACAGGTCCTAAAATATGGACGGTGGACTGAAGGGTGTTGTAGATTTATTATAGATCGGAGCACACATCTCAGAAGGACAGGTTGAATGGAGCTGTGAGCAGCCTGCTCTGGTGAACGGTGCCCCTTCCTATGGCAGGGGTTGGAACTAGATGAGCCTTAAGGTCGCTGCCTATCCATACTATTCAATGATCCTATGGATTGGATGCCTACAGATGCTTCGCGTGGGTGGAATGAGACTCCATGGAGACACCTCATGACAGACATGTCTGCTCTGGCTGTAAGGCCCACATCCTACTGTGTCAGGAAAAGGGCCAACTAATGAAGATGTCAGGGATGAGTTAGTTACCTGGGAATTGTCCTTAAGGGCATTGGAACAGCAGTCAGCTCAGGAAAGGGGAAGCGGGGGCATGGTATAGTGTGTGACATTTGATACAAGACGGAAGGCCTATCAGCGCTACTTGAAGCGTTTTCTAAGTGAAGAGACAGAAATAAGGAATTCTCTTAAAATGAAGAGAAAGGCTCTCGCTTCTGAGAAGCTGGACCCTTGGTTTTATTATGCTCACAGAAGTCTTTCTTTACAGTCTTTGAAGACGAGCATAGCTGGTATGCAGTAGGATTGCATAGCTACAGATTTAAGAATTAGTAGACTATTTAAATTTTGGTATAGCCCACTAATGGATGATCTGTATTATTAGGTATTTTATTAACTGAATGACTGTATTGACAGGAACTGACTAATTGTCTTTCTTCCAGGATATGAGGTTCCTCAGGGGTAGGACAAGCTCCCAACACATTAGAATAATAAATCTGAAATGCATTAGTGGAAGATATCAAACATTAAAGTAAAACCACTCAAAAGTAAAAGGCTTTGAATCTTGGTTATTTTTTTAATTACCTAAGTTTGTACACAAAGGGCAGCATTGACAGAACAAGAACAAGCAGTGACCATTATAATTAAAATTACAAACATTTAATTTATAATGTGCTGGTTTTAGGGGCTCATGACTTTCTTAGCATAATGTTTTTCACTAAAACTATAATGGCTGATCTAACTGAAATCAATGTTGTTGGTACTGTTGTAGATCTGGAGAAGGGTTAGTTTGAGGAAGAAGAAAACAATCTTTAAGTTAAAATCCTTTTTAAAGGATTTAAAAGATTAAAGTGGTTTTAATTTTTGAAAAATCAGAACATCAGAATATCTTGCATTTGGCAGTGGGAGTCAGATGAGGCGTATCCCTCATGTGAAAGCCAAGTTGTATTGTCATTTCAGATCTGAGAGGACAAAGAGACTTAATACACCTCCCTGCATATTTGAGGACAGTTGCACCAAAAGATCAAGATTCAGTGTTGCTGCCACCATGCTGCCACCCAGCTTCAGGTTTTCCACGGCTTTAACTTCAAGCTGGAACACCTGAGGAACATCAGCAGTGACCAAGTGGCAGCTAATGTCTTTTCTGCCAGCTGTTTTAGCCCTTTCTCTTGGGGCAGTCGAGCTTGGATTTGTTTGGAGCAAACGTTGGTATATCAGAGCAAACTTAACACTGTCATCTTATGAATCTGGGCAAGCCTGTCCTTGCTACTTAGGATCTGTGTTCCCAGCTGACTTGGCTGATGTGAGAGCACTATGTTGCTGAGAGACGTTTTTGAAAGAACTGGGTATTTGGTGTGATCCCAGCTGCTTGAGTGTGCTGCTGTTTATAAATAATGGTAAACATTTCCAGCAACATACACAACATTTCCAAACTCAGATGAGCTTTATGATAATGCAGCCTGCTATTATGCAGACCATACCACTGACCACTAATGCTGTAATGCTACTCTTTGACCTGAAATTCAAGAGCACAATTTCAGTGTCTTTTTCCACATTTAAACTCAGCTCGTTGTGTTATGTCAGTTCCATTATCTGCTCTGTTTCCAGTCCTGTGTGCTTAATCATATCAACTATAGAATGAGGACATTGTTTATAAGAGAAATCCAAGATATTTTCCTTCTGCACTAGTAAAACTGGTAAAAATGTAAACTGTTTTCTCACATTGTAATCTTTAGCATAACAGCATGGCAGGTCAGCTCTGTTTATGGGGTGTCCACTGTCTTCACCTGCAGCCTTTTTCACTTCAGTTCTAGTGTATGTGTTCTACCAGTGCGGGGCTATATGCAGTCCTTTTTCTTTACAGAGACTGTGGCATGGAGGAGGACGTTAAAGTGTGCCAAGGCTGACAGAATGCAGAAGCGTTCATTTGCCCATCACAAAATATGACTTCAAGACAAACCACCATTGTATAATATCTGCCTACATGCATAATGTTGTGTAATTATTTCCAGTACACTTAGTATCGTATATAATTACTTCCAGTACACTTAGCAGGAAAAAAACCTTCTCTAAACATGGAGGCATTACTTTGTATGATGTTATTAGTTTAGCTTTGTACCAGTATTCCCAGTCCCAACACTTGGCTAGTTTCTCTGGACAGTTCAAAGGAAAATCTTACAGAATAAACCTGGAAATAAAAGAAAAAAAGAAAATTTGCTAGAAAAGCATTTTGTGGAGAAGAAATATCTTCTCCTGAAAAACATCCTTTGCCTAAACTCAGCAACATGGAACTTTTGTAAGAGTAGACCCAGCCCGAATTCCCCTTAAACCCTCCTTTAGCTCCAAGATCTGTTTTATAACTGGGCCACTTTGTTATTTCATTATCTCTTGAGTACCTGATTTCAGTCCCAGAAAGGGACCATTCCTCATTCCTGAAGTATCCACTGATTACAGAGCAAATTAGCATTTATTTTGGAAATGTGACCAGGGAGTGTGACTTTAGTATATTTTTAGTATGTTGTTTGTTTTTTTGTGTGTTTGGTTTTTGTTTTTTAAAAAAACTGTGTTCAGCTGAAGCAGTTACAATAATTGCTTTAAGCAACTTGTATGTCAAGTTAACCATATACCAGCTTTTTTTGTTTTGTTCTCCTCCCTTCTCTGTTGTAGAACAGAAGCTTACTGGAGAAGCCCTGCCTTGTATGAAAAGGAGCATGAGTTGTCTGCATCAAGTTGTAAAAAAGAAACGTTTTCCAGATGAGAGTCAGCTATTTGTTTATGATAGCGTTGGTGCAGCCAGACAACATTCATTCACTTGTACAGACCCAGAAACGTCTGTACAAAGGAATGAACATATTTTAATGTCACCTGCAAGAGTGGGGAGCTGTCCTTAAAGTTCACATGTGCCTGCTTTCCTTCACAGAGTATAACTCACTTTGTGTTTTGTATATCTGCAAAGCTATTCAAATCAGCTAAGTCTAAATAGAGTTTAAATAGAGCTTGTCACTTTGACAGTATACCTGCTGGGAGAGATAAAAGATGATATGTAGACTCATGGGTGAGACCACTCCTACAGAATCCTTTCTTTTACTGGCTGTCATTAGAAGTAATAAGTAAAAAGCAGATGTCTTGTGATGAGGCTGTTATTACATGGAAGAACAAAAGTGTTATTTTTCTTCATGAATCATCTCTGAAAAGTTTTTAAGGTAGCATTATTTGAGGTGACTGTCGAGCTCACATTGCTGAATATTGTGTTATTCTCTGAGTAAAGCAGAAAGACTTCAGATGGAACAGTCCACTTCGAAAGTTTTGGAATGTTCTGCTTGGTAGAAAAAAAGATAATTATCTTTTTTTTTTTTAAATCAAATTTTTATGCTTTCAAGTCTATAATTTATGATGTGCACCTCTGTCCAGTATAATTGACTGAGGTGAGCGCCAGATGTAATAACAGCTTCCTTTTCAGCAAGGAGGCCTCCAGGCATTTCCTGAGGCACTGGAGAGATCTGTGCTCAGGCAATTATTTCTTGATGCAGAAAGTCTTGCTGACTAGCAACTTGGATTAAATAATCTGTTTGAGGGGAAGAGGGGAGCCACAACCTGGAAAGATTCAAATGAAGGATTTTATGAAGGACCTTCAAGTAAATGTCTTTCTGCTCTGCAGTGAGGAAGATGACTAACAGACTTATTCCAGTCAAAGGTAGAATGCCTGAAGCTGGTTTCTCAATTAGCATATGAAGGCCATGGTTGTGACTTCTCAGTATTGCTTTAAAACTTCTTTTTCTTGCTGTCACCTGATGTGTGAAAATGACTGTAGTAGGATTAAGTTATGTCATGAGTCCGAGTGGTGCCGTTCTAGGTTTTTTTTGTGGGATTTCTCATTTCATACAATTGGTTTTGAGGGTTGAAGGTTTTTACTTCAGTAAGGATGAAGTGTGCATTTAAGTCTATAAAGTATCATGAGTTTATGTCAAAGTGAAAATCATCACATTTTTTCATCACTTTGGTCTGTATCAGCATGTTCCTTTTGCAAACAACTTAAATTTCTCATTTCTCAGTGGCCCACATACTCTTTTGCTGTGATTGTGGTCCATACATGATTATGATGCCTTGATTTGAGTCTGGCATATCTAATCATGTCATGAATGCTGCTGATATTGTATGCAATAACATATGTATGTTGTATACAACCTCTAATACAGCAGAGATTGTAGTGTGCGAGTTACTCTGTGTGCAGATTGCTGAGCCACTACCTGCCAGAGTTTAGTGTGGTGACTGATGCCTGTTGCATCCTGTTCACCTTGGAGATGCTCTCTCCTACTAGTTTACCTATCACTGTGTCCTAATCTCTTCTAAAGAGGCTTTTCTTTGGTAATGCCCATGAGATGCAAAGTACTTCCAAAGAAAGTAGGAACTTCCAATTTTTTTTTCCCCAGTTTATCTTCTTTCCAGCATTTTCTAAGCTGGAGACTCTGTAAAGGTTAACTTTATATTCTTTACCACAGGCTGACCTAATATTTTCTTTTTTTCTGACTAGGTGACGTGTGTACTTCCATGCATTCAGGTCAGGTCCAGCTCAAGATACTAAACTGCTACAGTGTTAAATCTGCAAAGCTGGAAATATCACAAGTTTCCCAAGACAGAATCTGTCCTACCCCTCCCTGCCCCTTGAGTCTTTGTTCATTTCGTGGGAGCTTTTTGTGCATTGCAGTTCTATCTGCTTTCATCATTCAATATTGTTACTGCAGTATAGTTATGGTGGATTGATTTCTGGTGGGAGTAGTCAATATTTACAGCATCGCTCATTCTGTAGAGTTTAGTCATACAACTGAACCAAATGGGAATAATTCTTTTGTGTTTTAGCTCACTGAACATACAGGTGTTCATATGTTAGGTAAAACAACAGCAGGAGATGACCTAACCTCCAGAAAGAAAATGAAACAGCAGAATAGGTTTTGGTAAGAGTTTTTAAAAAACTATAGTGAAAGCTTTCTAAGCCCCTAAAGAAGTCCAGAGTCTCAAATGATCTGATCTGAACACTTAATCTTTTTGTCAGTTCAAAGCAGGGATGGTCATAGAGGATTACATGTAGCTTTTCTTCTACTGATATTTATCCAAAATACTAAGTCCCAGACAGCAGTTTAGTATCAAGAACTGCATCTAGTTAATAAAGGCATAGGCAGTCAGCAAATACCTTTTGGTATTTTTCTAATAACCGGGAAATTGTTTTCCTTAAACAGTAATCCACTCTTCACATTGGCAAGAAAAATAGATTTTTATATAATAGTGCTATTTAGCAGCGGTTATTATAAAAGTATTGAATGGCAATCACAAACTTCTGTTGAGCGCCATACCTTATTCCTCTCGCTGTTGATGGCTAGTGGAGACTAATCTATTTGCAGGCATAATATTAGATCAGAGTATTTTTTTTCAGGAGCATAGTGAAAAAGAGGATACATTACATAGCAGGAATAGAGAAAATAGTCCATTAGTAATCACACACTGAATAGTCTCTAGAGATCAATTATGCCTCCTCAATTGCAAGTTTATCTCCAAATCTTTAATTACAAAGGATTTTCATCTTGTCTACTTCATATTGTATACTGTGTAAAATCTACTTCATGTGAAGGATAAAGCTGTACTGAAAACTGGAAATGAATTCTCCCTCTCTTTGATGAAATTGTTTTTTTTTATTTTCTAGATGGTTTAAACAGAGATGGGTGCCAAATCAAACTAGTAAGAAGAAGCCTTGAAAAGGAGAACATTGAGAGATAAACCTCAATATTTCTTCTACATATTCTTTGTAGGTAATGTATCACCATTCATACCTCCCAGGTATTTCCATGAGACAAGTACCTCTCAAGGTCTCTCTTCCAGAGGTAAGTTAAAAATGTATTGGAGACTCTATTTCAAAGAGAAGTCAAACAGAAGGTGTTGAAAAATGCCCATTGTGAAATTTCTCCAAGTAGACTACTTGATGCATTTAAAGAAGTTGGCCTAGTAGTTAGATTTATGGCACTTTTTAATATATTGTTGTTACTTATAGCACTTCTGAGGAACTGGCAAGTGGTCTAGTGGTCTAGACAAGCTGAAGAGCATAGATGTCAAGCTGCTTTGGGTGAGATCCAGGATGCAGAAATACCTGGAATTGTTGTTTACCTTGCCCATAGGCCCCCAACTCTAGGGATTGATCCAGTTATCTTTGAGTAAGAGCCTCAGTTTCCCATAAAATCTGCCACAAAATTACTGCATAGGAGTAGTGACAGCCCACCGTCGGTGCTGGTAGCAGAGCGTGATAGGCCTGCCTGTGAGGAGAGGCAGCCTGCAGGATGCCAAGCTTTCAGCAGCAGGGCACATAGCTTCTTTCCACGTCATGCCCCTCCACCATGTCTCCCTTCCAGCAGGGACCCCCAGGCAGTGAACTGGGCAGTGGTTTGGCAGACATGGTTTCTCATCCTGCTCTCTCCCGTCCTCTCTGCTTGCATCTGCACAGCTAACAGGAGCCAGGGACTGGATAGTGGCATCCCTGCTGTGTGCCCTGCCCTTTAAGCACTCATGAAACTGGTGGACTGTTACTCAGAAAGGAGTTTAAGACAGAAGCACCAGTGACTGGGAAGTGGAGAGCACTGGGTCAGAGAGGACTGTTGAAAACGTCAGGGCTACTGAGGCACCCGTTGGTCTGAGCTGTATATTCCCTGGCAAACCTCTGATGTGGGACTTGAAGAGAGCTTGTGACCTACTAATCTCCCTGTGCAGAGGATGGGAGGAGCAGGTAGATGAAATGTGTACTGTCCTCACCCCTTCTCAGACTCACTCCCTTGGGAGGGTTGACAAGCCATATTATTCTGGCCATTCAACAGCTGATACTAAAGCTATGATCATAAAATAATAAAGATACGCAAAAAGCTTTTAAGATAGTGGTACACCTTTATATAATCAAGTCTGTGTTTATAACCTGGCTTTGCACAAAGTTCAACTTCCAGTTGTCCTTATCCCCTGTTTCAGCTCAGGCTCTGTTTTATATATATATATATGCCTTTCAGGTGGTGGTCAGGAAGATTTTTCCTGAAAGTAAGGATGAAGAAACAGTTAAAGCTGATCAGGCGAGGTAGGAGTTGGAACCCAAGCTGTGCTTCACATTGCTAAATCTTCCAAGACTCCTTTGTTCTAGTATTTGAGGTTTATAGAACATAACTGCCTGGTTTCTCTCTTATGCCTGTAAATGATTATATGCCTCACATTTCTAACCCTTGCTTATACTGCCAGTAACAGGAATAGAGCCTCCATGTGGTAATCCAGTTGCTCACATCCACATATTCTTTAATCTTTGTCCAAATCCCCATTTCTGCCAAAGAATGCATCAGACACCAAGATAAGACTAGGAGAAATATAACCCTTGCCCCAAATAACCTGTAATGTACTGTAATGTTTTATTACATTAGAACTGTACTTTGCACAGTTGTATAAAAAAGCAACCACGTGCCTGCCAAACCTGCAGCGCTCCCACGCTCCATGGCATTGACATCAGGATTCCCAGGTTTTGCCCATGGAATTAGCTGCTGCCATTTGGTTCTTTCCAAAACTAGGGTCATGAAGTAGCAGTGCCAGGGCAATGTTGCAACCATGCATAGTGCAAAGGGGCAGAGAAAGCTGCAAGGTTTGTTTAGTGCAGGCTGTTCTACTTGTATAGCAGCAGAGCTAGAAAGGAAGAACAGCAGATATAGCCAAAGACTCTGTGATAGAAATAATTCACTTTAATGCTACTTATTTTCTTAATGGGCTTTGATACAGGAATTATGGTACCTCCCTTTCAGTGGATGCATGTGTGCAGTTTTCAGTCATGTGGCTATGACAAACCTTTGTTCATCTCCAGTTCCAGCAGTCTGCTCTAATCTTCCTTTTCATAAGAGCTGTATACTTCTGTGGCACTCCACCAAGGAAAAGGCTTTAACTAAATCATGAAGCAATTGTTCAAAATCCTAAGTAGAAACCTGTTTATTTCTATATGTAGCTGAAGATCAAATTTGTTAAGAAGCCTAAGCATGTTCCAGTCATCTTAAGAGTAAAACACAGTATTACCTATCTCAGCAAATACTAATGAAGCTGAAATGCCAATTTACAAATAGACCAACTGTATAAAAAATAGAAACATTTGCCTTCCATTTAGTAGTTCAGCTACTCAAATAATTTTATGTATGATGTGTACCTTTCCTTGACAGCTTGTATTCCTGGGTAGAGCTGCAGGTCCTGAAGAATGGGTGTAATATGAGCTCAATAGCTCTGCTTTCTCCCTGTGAGAAAACGTGTTGTGTGAGGGAGCAACTTTATTGGCTGCTGTCTCACCACTGCTCCCATACATTGCATAAACACTGCTGTTGGAAGCTGCTATGGACCATGGGTTGCAGGGTCTTTGGTGGTGTTACCATACTTGTTTCTGGGATCGTGTTGTAGAGAGCAAGACACATTCCTAAATGAAAAAGGAAGTTGTGTGGAGGTGAGGGCCAGGTTCTTGAAGACAAAGATGCTACAACTATAAAGACATGCACAGCTCTGCAGGGATAGCTCAGTCCTTTGGAAACTCAGTAGGTGGCCTCTAAACGCATTTAATATCTGGTTTACAAGACAGTTTTCTTTTGGAGTTCTTTACGTTCATCATATATCACTTCATTGCTCAATCCTCTGAACTGGGCTATATAATTACTGACAGGCTGCAGATGGCTGTTAAGACAAGTCTGCAGAGCACATAACAACGAATTAGTGTCTGCAGTGAAGCTGCCACAGGTGAGGTTACACGTTTGGGCTTGAGACTGTCTTAACAGCTCATTTCCACATAAAGAAGTTTTGCGCCCTTCTCCTCCTGTCTTGGCCCTCCTACCCTCACATGCACTGACTTGTGTTTTCTGACCCCACACTAAGTCAATTCAGTTTATTGCAATCAAGAAGATATTAAACTGGAAAAAAGGTGAATCGTTTGTCATGTCATATGGAGTTGACTCAAAGTATGAACATACTGAAGAGCACCAAATCTAATGCAAAGGGTGGGATAGGATTGTGTGACTGGGTCTGTGTCTAAGGAAAGGAAGTGAAGAAAAAAGAAACAAGATCTTTATAGTAGTGGAAAGCTGGTTAATCCATTTTGTGGTAAAGTGCCACTACCCTTGAATAACAAATGACTAAGTTCTTTCTATGCACAGTCCACCTTCAGCACCATCCTGCATACACATATTATTTTTATTTGTCATGATGAGTTTGTCTTTCACAGAATGGGTGTAAGTGGATAAAGCTGGGGCTGCAATATGGCAGATTAGCCAGTGAGACAGCAGCAAAAAGCCTTTGCTCTAGGGGAAGATGGTCCATAAAATCTGCATATTTTGTAAGCTTATCTCTCAGCTCCCTCCAAGAGATAACTGCAGTCTCCCATCTCCATAGGACCTAGGCAGGCTCTCTTTCTCTATTTTTTGTTTGTTTGTTTGTTTGTTTAGCTGGGCTTTTTGCTATCATATATTCTGGAAACAGATCAGCTTTTCATCTTCCTCTCAAAAATCTGTAAAGAATCTATGAAGGTAGACAGCAAATAAATAAATGGTAATGAAATGTACTGCTCAATAAAGACTTAACGTAGTTGGAGAAAAAGGAGGAAAAATTAGGATTGGCAGCAACTAGTAATCACTCTGGTGTTTCAGAGTTTTTGCAGATTAACTCAAGACATTTTCTGTTGCTATTGAAGTCAAAGACAATATTTCCATTGGCTGCAGTTGGAGCAGTTTTGAACAGTTGTGTTTTTCAATCTAAAATAATAAAGTATGGTATTATTTCAAAACTGAGTCAGTTATCTGATGTGTGGGTTCATCGTTCGTTTTAACACTCATCTGACTGCTCATTCTTCTGCTGAGGTTAGTTTAAAACAAAAGGCACCTCCCAGGCTATCCTCCTTTGAAAGTTAATCTGTGGCTTGCTTTTCCATGTTTTAAGCTCTGTGGGAAGTGCAGCTTCAGCCCTATTTAAAACAAACCACAGCCAGAACAGCCCAGGTTCCTCATGCAACAGTGTCTTGGGGTGAATGCCGCAATGACTCACTGTTGCCTTTGGCACCCTGCTTTGGCTGGGCAGGTGCAGCTGGCAGGTATGTCGGAGCATTGGGTGCACGGCAGCAAACCAGCGATGCGTGCTAGAACACTGACAACATCAGTTGTCAGGGAGCAAGGCTGATGCCTGGACATAAGCTACAGAGGGTAGCAAACACATCTACACAGTGCTGCAGATATAGTATAGAACCTATTGGCCCCACATGCCCTCTGTGTTGGTGGCTGGAGGCTGGGCAGGGTATCCTAAAGTACTCAAAAGGGCATCTACATATGAAAACCTGCGTCTTCATTGAAGATCCCCTAGAGCTGGTATGTTAAGAAGTCAAGGGGTGAAAATGCTAACTCATATAGAAAGCATACTTACTAGTTTTCCTGAACAGATTCTCCTCTGAAACCTTTAAATGGATTATGGGTTTCCACTTCAGCTTCTTTTTAAGAAACAGGCTATTTGTGCTGGGTTGTTTTTTCCATTGGCATATCGTATTAGATATCTTGTCAGTCTGATGGTGGAGGCTCTCATGGTGCAGTTGTCACTGCCTTAGAGGCAGCTCTAAGCCCAGCGCTCTTGGTGCCACAAATGCCTTCCAGTATTGTCTCCTGGGAAATAGGAGGGATGGACTTGCCTTATTCTGTGAGTGTTGGTCAATCTGTCCACTTTCAGGATCATTTGAAGAGAGGAGTCCATTCTTCTGTGTGTGTGCATGTAGGCATTGGATATAGTAGTCATTTCTGGGAGAGATGAGAAGGAATTCCAGGTCTTCCAACTACACATTTCCCTGTGATACTTTCAAGTATTCTGTGAGGTTCTGTACCGTGCAAATGTATCTTGACAGTCAGCCTGAGGACGTTGATGTAGCTGTGCAGCAAGAGTAACAGATGTGTATTTTCTGGAGTTAGGTTGAAATATACTGCCTTCTGGAAGGTCTCTGCTATGTTTGCTGCAGAATGTGGCCAGCTCTTAGGGTCGAGTGGGGAACTGTCAAGGAGAGTAGGAGTAGTGCCATAGTGAATGCAGCTGGACGTGGCTGTGTCACACAAGCTGCGGGACACAAGACCTGAAAACTAGGTTTTCACAGCTTGCTTGGTCTGCATGTTTTAGTTTCCTGTCTTAGACTACTGAGTCTTAGCACTCAGCTGTAGCTGAGCTGAACTTTCAGGATAATAACATAAAATACTACTTTTTTAATTTTTTTATTCAGAGCTGTGCTGGGAATGACTTCAGTAAGCAAAAGAGGGTGCAGAAGGACAGTGCTAATAAAAATCCTGCCTAGATTCTCATTAAGAAATCTCAGCTGTTCTTGTGTATTGAATGAAACAGGGATCTCTTGAAAGGAGCATGATGCAGTTGTATCATAAAAAAAGTGTATCGTAATGCATACAAACCAGGATGCCACATCAAAGGCAAGCTTAATTCTGGCATTTTGTGACATTAGAGGGACTAACTTTGCAAAACCAGATTTTTTCAGTACAGGCCCGTTTTAACTGGATTGTGTGCATGAATAACCTCCTAGGTTTACAAAAGAGAAGGTGAAAATGCAGACCTCCTATGTCTACACCATGTATGTTGACATTTACACATTCGGCAGCAAGTTAAGATGTTTTTGATTCACAACACTGACCTCTCCCCTTTGAATTTATGCACTAAGAGATAGGCTGTCCTCCCCAGAGAGTCAGTTCCAAAAGGATGCTAGGACAAGTGTATTCCAACTGCCTTTCATAGATGATATGCTGATGAAAAAAACCTGTTTATTCCCACCTCCAGAAAAGGTTGAGATGAACTGAACCCAGCGCTGTTCAGCTGTTTGCTTGTCATCATTTGTGATAGGTGTGTATCTTCTGCTGGTCTGTTGGCTCCTTGGCTGATCCTTGCCTTGGAGCCTTGCGTGCTGCATGGGGATGACACATTTGTCAGACCCCCCCGGATTTCAGAAACCCTCTCCACAGATTGGAATAGCAGGATCTCCCGAGCACTTCCAATTTACATTTGTTGCGTGCTTGGAAGTTGAGGAGTTTCTCATATACTGCAACTCCACCTCTCCAAATGGGGAATTCTCCATCAAATTCATAGGTACCAAAGAGCTTCCTGAAGGATCAACTATGGTTTTGTTAACCTAGAAAACATGGCATATTTCCCACCCATTCACATTCTCAACAGTGACTGACCCCCCCCCCCAGAAAGAAGGTGTATTTCATGTCTTGTCTTATTCTCAGCAGAGGCAACCATTTTTGTCAACATTTTGTAATGACGGGCACTCTTAGTGATGCCAAGGGTGAAAACTTCAGCTGTATGAAAGTTTTGCATAGTCAAATGAGAATCTGCAGATGGGAACTCCTGGACACTGCTTCCTGTAAATGTGGTTGCCAGTTCTGTGTACAGTACCAGTTAGAAAACACTAAACAGAACTCAGTCAGAAATTGTTGGTTTCTGTCCTGATTTTATCATTGAAATGTTCCTTTTCCTTAAAGCATATCACTTCATTTTCCTCACTGTAAAATACAGATAATAGCTGCTATTCAATAGCATATTACACTTGTATTTGTAAAGGAAGCAAGTTTGTGCATCTCAGATTTTGGTAACCTGTCCCACTTGCATACTGATTTCTCCAAGACCCATAGAGCCAATCAGTAGTAGAATCTGAAATATAATTAAAACTGAGAGAGGAATCAGAAGACAGAAACTGCCCTAGTTGATGGAGAAATGTTTGTTTGACTGCACTAAGGATGCAGTCTATTTAAAATATTCTCATCCTTTTGAAATACTAAGAGTTCTACAAGAAGAAACTGCAACTTTGAAATGGAACATTGTTATTTGTGCCATATTGGTTAGTTGCCAAAAATCAACAGAAACATGCAGTTGTTTTCTGGCAAGCACTGACCAAATAGAGGTGCTCTCCTGAATCAAGCTGTGCTTTAATTACTGACACATGAGAAGGATCTTTGCTTCTGAAAGTTTTAACACCACTTTTCATAGCAATCGCATAAGCTGCTGTCTTTTAGTGACTACTGACCATGCTCCCTGTTACTTCTGGCAACCTGACTAATGCTTCCGTCTCAGACCACTTGGAGTTGAAAACAAAACTGTGGATGCATTCCTTTGTGGTAGTTGTTGGGACATACTATGTTTATATAAGCAATATGGCGTGTTCATCATAGTAAGCTACATCACTACGTGGCAGCTGTGCTGTGAAAATCAGGTCTCCAACTCCATAGTAGACAGAGGCCCAAAATGATGCCATTTGGAATTGCCTAAAGGGATCAAATCTTCTTTAAGGAAGCAAATAAACAGAACCTTTTTACCAGTTCTTTTGGGTTTTCTACTCATGTATCACCAGATGATACCAGAAATATATGGACTTCTTTTGGGAGGAAATAGATCCATTTCTTATCTTTGTAAAACTTTGGCTGGTTTCCATCATTGAGCAATGTCATGTTATTTCTCTCAGCTAATGATCAGTGACTCAGCATCTGTAGTGTGTGTTTCAATATCAGGTGAAAAGTTTGGTCAACATCCCAACATTTCATCCTAATGCTGATGTATTATCTTCGGGAGAGTCCAAAGAGCAGCCTTCTGGAATACAAATAAATTAGTATCTTTAGCCTTAATAACTTTTAAGCTCTCTGCTCATTTGGATTGATAGATCAAATTTGCCACTTTTCTACCAAGAGTGGTAGGAAACAATCTAGAACAGAAAAAGGATAGCTGTGACAACTGGTATTTTCTGGCTGGTGAGTTGGTTTAGTTTAATCCTCTACACTGTGAATTATTTCCTAAAGTTTCAAGTGGAAAATGCAGATTTAAACAGAATTTTGGTACTTCCAGGAGCACAGCTTGCACAATAATTTTAGGAGAAAAAGTGGTTGAGGAAATTGAACTTGGGTGTCTTTCTGTTAGTAGTCTGTTTCTCTTTGTGGGAAGAAGGGGAGGCAGCAGCTTTCAAAGTGCATGCAGAGAAATCACAGTGTAGCAGCATCATGAGTTCCCCAGCACAGGGCCAGGCTGGCCTGGGAGCCTTCTCAGGGAGAGAGCAGCTTGTCTGGGTCTCTCCTGCCCGTGTCAATGAGAAGCACACATGGAGGTGCCTTTACATGTGTAATGGTCTGACATAACCCAAACCTACTAATTCATTTTGAGAGGAGAAATGAGAATTTTTCAGGTTGCTTAGTCACTACCAATTTGAGTCATATTTAAAATACTGGAGCAAAATGCTCTGTAGGGTGTTACGCATGTAATAATAATCTTCTCAACAAATCAGGGTAACTTAATTTAAATTTGAAAACATAATTTGTTTGTAACATGATTCTAGATTTGCTCAATCCAGTCCCTTGTCTCAGACTATGCTGTGTCTCATCTATAATGTGGAAGGTTCTGATAGTTTCTGTCCATTCATCCTCTGTTGGCCCTGTTTCACCTGAGCAAACCTCCTAGCAAACCAGTAACTTTGTGTTTACATGATACATTGAGTATGAGACACCTGGAGCCACGTGGCGCTGGGACAGACCGCTGTTGTGTAAGTCTGCTGTGCTATCAGCAGAGGGAAGCTGACACTCTCACAAGGCTAATAGGAAACAGTACCAAAGACACTGGAGAAAGTTTGTTTTATGAAACTGCATGTCTTTCTAACACAGTATAAAGCATGCGCATTCATTTTTTACGTTTTGTTTCAGTTTAAACTTCTTGAAATCCTTAATCTCAGCTGCCACAAAATTGGCAGTTTTCTGCAACTCTGAGCGGACCCAGCAACTTGAACTGGATTTCTGTGGGCCGATTCCTGGGGATTTAGAAGCTGCTCCTTTGGCAGTGTGGCTGCCTGATGCTGGAGAGTCACTGAAGCTTTCCCTCTCCCGTTATCCCTCCATGAGCAGAAACCCTGGCCTCTGCCTGACTTTCCCACCATAGAACAGCCCATGTGCACTGGGAGCTGCCAGGCGGCTGACTACTTTGTTCAGCCTTTCAGAAAACGAGTGTCCTTTCTGAAGCAGATCCTTTCAGGGTCTCCTCTCCTGGTGTTTTCAGCTTGCATTCCAGTTCAAAACAGCCGCTGCTATTTGCAGACTGTAACTTGTGAGGCCCAGTTACGGAAGCAGTCATGTGCCCTCCACATTCATAGAGAAAAGGCTGCAGAGAACTGCTCTGATAGAGTTGAGAAGTTGGTTCACAGCTAGGAATTAAATGTTTAAGCTGACATTAGCCAGAGTCAGTGCTAAAAGATGTAGCACTCCCCCCCTCAGCAGCTCATTCCTACCCTCTCAAGGCCTTGAGTTTGTACAAGCCTGGTCTGAATGGCAGAGGGATTGATCCAGCTGAGCTCTCAGCCAACAGGAACAAAAACACAAGCTGTGATCTGGCTTGGGGTTGTAATGCAGTTTTGTATCCCACCACGTGGACGCATGTGCCTGTGGAGGCAGAGCTGGAGGGAAGGGAGAGAGCTACTTTGGGGGGACCATGAAGAAAGGTTCCTTGTGCTGGCTCTGGGGGCTTGTGCTTCCTCACAGGGTGAGGTTATGTGAAGTGGCTGATACCTGGGTTTACTGACACCCAGTTCCACCAGAACTTTATGATCATCTCTTGCAGGGATGGCACACACACGAGCTCAGAGCCCTACCATGCAGCACGCTGCAGCACTGGAGCACCAAGCATGGCACCCCTGAGCAAGAGCCCTCAGAGGGGATTTCCCAGGCAGTCACCAAAACTGAGGAGATGGGCATGCGGCAGCCTGGGCTGAGGATGAGAAACAGTGTGTAGGAGGCACTGGAAGTGCCCTCACCCCAGCTGTCCTGATATTGCACTCACGAGATAAGTGGTGAGCATTTACTGTACATGGTGTGTTTCAGGGTGCTTTTTCACAACGAAATTGCATAAAATAGGCTTTTTTGTGTGCTGAAAAACCAGTTCAGAATTGCGGAGCACTTCTGAATCTACACAGTAGCGCATGGTGGGGATTTTGCAGCCTAGCTTCAGGCTTGGAGAAACAGAGGCATGTGGAAACTTGGGCTGTCCTCAAAAGGGGGCATGCAAGAGAATGTTTCAAAGTCCTTCATAAGTCAACAACTGTTTTTTTCTGATTTCCAACACAGAACAGCTAAATATTCTCATCTTGTCAGAACCCATATATTTTTTGTGTGCATTTTCTATCATATTTCCTTCATTACCTTCCTTCTTTATGACTGGAAAAAAATACACGTTAATTCCTCAAAAAGCTTGCAAATCAAAAAAGGTAACTAACTTCACCTTTGCAGAACAGGTCAACTTCTTGGTGCTTGCTGTAGAACGTGGTGGTTTTAGCTGCTGGGAAGATGGTGGTGACATCAGCACTGGGCTGCCTGGCTGTAACCACTCACACACATACAGGGGCTGTTGAGCAGATGGAGAGAGCTCAGAAAGTGGAAGAGAATGGCTTGAAGACTGAAAAACCTGCTGTATAGAAGTTCTTATTTTTGTTTGGTTTTAAGCTATTAAAGGGATAAATATAATTTACTGTATTTGTTTTTTCAAAGAAAATGGTTTCAATTTGAGTTTTGCTGTCTTTTTATGTATATTCTCTGCTTTAGTGAACAGCTGTGGATTTCGTGTAGGAACTATTGGGTGTGCCTTTTGAAGTTTATTAGGTGGGAGATCAGACCTTAGATGTCAGCTATAAAATCTCGAACAGACTGAGTCTTACAACAAATAATTTATTCACTGACTATAGCACCTTCCTCTGTGCAAATATGCATAGATATATGTTTATTTTCTCACTTTTCCCCAATACTTTTTGATTTTTCAGCCCAGCACCCAAAGGAAGGCTTCAGTGATCACCATATCCATCCGTCTGTCCCACTCTAATAACTTTTAAAACAACTGCCACACTTCAACATCATGCAGTACTGTGACGTGCAGCTCAAAGGCATTAGGGTAGGATTCGTTTCACCTAAGTTTAGACTTCTATAGTATCAGTGTCTTCATCTGCATTAGTCACCTTAGGTTGTCCTTACAGTTAGTAGAGACCAGTTGGCACTTTTAACCATAATTCAAGTGACCTGATTTAGATGACTATTTTGGGATGGGATGACTCAGGGACTAAGAGTGCCTTTCTTTCTTTACTGCTTAGTTAGGATGATCAGCTGAAATGAAGAACAGTGGAATAGTGGAATTTTTTATGTGACTTCCAAAGGCTGGCTCTGTATCAGAAAAGAAATGTAATGAATCAAAAGCTGAAGTGTGTGCTCACCAGCAGTGGTGTGCCAGTCAATGTGGGTATCGAGCTGCCAGCCAGCACATGCCCCTTGTTGGGAAGCAGAGGGAGTTCACATTGCCTTTCACCTAGCTGGTATGTAGAGGATGTGAGAAGAAGATGGGTGTTCTACTGGAATGAGGAGAAAGTCATACAGAGCTCTAGGTCAGGATGGCTGCCAGGATTATTGTGTTGGGTGGGTAAGAAAATGAGACACTAGCTCAAAATAAACAAGCCTTCACTGGATTTACTGCTCACAGAATTAATTGCTTATTCTCATGAACTCAAGGCAAATCTGCATGCTGTGACTGCTCAGATAAAACAACTTCTAAAATAACCCTTTTGGCATTTGGAGGTCAAGCCCTATCTCTGATCAGCTTACGATGCAGATTTCCATTTCCACCTTGGTAATTTTCAAATAAACACTTGTGGTGCTTTTTTCCAGAGCCGCTCTCTATTCTCTGAAGAAGTCATTATAAACTTCTCAAAACAACCTCCTCCTTTTTCCTGAGAGACCTCAGACCTGCTAAAGCTCGGATGATGGGTGAGCGGTTGCTTTGCTGAGACTTCTGCCTAGAATGGATTGCCTCTGTGTCCTGTTGCTTTTTACCTGATGGCTCTCAGGTTCAGAGCATTTCTTGGTTGTGAGTCTGTAAAATTTATGGTAATGCAAGTAACTGGTTCTGTCCTGACGTGTGAATGGTGGTATTCATTTTAAAATGAAGGGTCTGGGAGTTGTTATGACAATAACTCTAATATATACTCCACACTAGAAGGTTGCCTTGGTTGTTTGTGGAAGGAGATTGAGAAGCAGGATATAGCTGTACCTGCAGGAGGGGCAACCACTTACAACAATAACAGGAGGATACAAAGACCCAGAAAGGGCCATGTGTTTTGCTGATTCCTGTGATATCATTGAATGAAAAGTCATCATCACCTTAATAACTCTGGTAACACTTTATGCTTTGTCATGGTGACTCTCAAGTGTTTCATAAGGTAGGGCATTATTCAAGACTGGCCTTAGTGGAAATGCAGTTACTCCCACAAGCATGTTCTCATCTTAGGATCACTTGTTAATGCATATTTATTTAGCAATTTACTTTCTGGGAACAATTCCATTCATGTTCACTTTTTCATTATCAGCAAAGCGTAACTCATTGCCCTGTTTTTCAGAAGGCACAACTGAGATAACCAATGAGCTGGTTGCTTGCTCAAAGCCGTGGAGTGGGGCAGTGACTCATCATCAGAGCAGTGCAAAAGGCAAGCAGGTTGTGTTTGTGTTTCATTCCAGGAAAAACAAAACAAGTAATGCAGGCTGGGAGAAAAGCTTCAAAACAAATCAACCAGAACAATCACTCCCAAGCTGATGCATTTGGTTCACAGTTCTACACTGAATGTTTTCATTTGAAAAAGATTCATTCTCCATAAATCCCTAGCAAGTTTTCTGCCTTTTGTCCATGATTCCTCTTTTTGCATATCTTCATCTTCCTGGTGAGACAGCAGAAAGAAACATGGCACATGTGACATCCTTGTCTTCTCCTGCTGAAGGACCACAGGTCATAATGTAAAAGAACAACTCATTCCTCAGCATCTTCCAGTCTGACTGCTTCCATTCATGTCCTTGGTTATCAATACTGACCGTTCCTTTATCCTCACTTTTTTTCTGGTGCTTTTTCTGATGCTCTCACATACTTTAATTCCTGTTTCTCTCATAACTACCCAGCTATTTTCTGTCTCTCTACTCTGAAGGAGGGCCATAGGGCTGCTTTCCAGGGACTTTCTTGCAAAACACAAGTAAGCCAGAGTTAGGAAGGTTCAAAAGCAGTCTCTAAATGCTACCTGCATGCACATGTATTTGTTCTGCACCACCCTGCTAAGGCTTAAGAACATGAACTATTACTGAACAGTATTTCAGGAGAGGGAAACAAAGTATGACAACTTCTACAATTAAAAGACACAACAGCCTCAAAACAAAACTGCAAGCCAATGAAATCTTCAAGAGCAGAGAAAGGTAATATCTAGAGTGGAATTCAGTTTAAGGTGAAGGCCTTTAAATGAATGTGTCTACAGTAGGTATATATGAAAGTATACTTGCTGTCTATGTGTTGACTATGTAGGTAAATGGCTCAGTGGAGACCAGTGTCTTGATTCAGCTCCCTAAATGTTGGTGCCATCTGAAGGATTTCAGAAGTCTGATACATGTGGCTAGCACTTACAGCACAAGCGAAACCCATGTTCTTTTAAGATAGCTGTGTGCCAGACAGGACACCTTCCCAGTGTTCAGGTGGTGCTGGACATTTGTGTGTGATCCCGAACCACGATCTTGTGGGTGATTGAATAAATCACTTTGTATGCCTGTACTGGCTGATATTGTACCTTTGGCTGTATTGCCTATAACTAGAGGTTTAGCATCTAGCACATATGTAGATGCCTAAATTTATGCTTCCTGACCTTAAGTCACCCTTGGTGTTTCAAAGGAGCAGGGGCAGATATGAAAACACTTAGGTTACCCAGCAGCTAATGCCTGCAACTACTCAGTTTCATGACTTGCATGACTGATCAGGCCTTTTTTAAGTGGTCTGCCTTTCTAAAGAGATATGATCAGAAGGGAATTCCTTGAACATTTATTTCTCATATGAATGGATCCAGTTTCTGGTAGTGTGACCCAAACTGACATACCTTCCTGCTCTGCTTCTGCTGGGTGAACCAGTCTCTTTTATGTGATTCCCTGCAACAGTTTCAGTCCAGAAGATAGGCATGTCTTTGGTTTCAAAGGGTAGTTGATAAAGAAGTATTCAAGCTGCTGCTAACAGCTTGTGGTGTTATTTATTACATAACACTACAAGAGAGCTCTACATGATTTATGATACCCACTTTCTTCTTTCCGCCCCATCTTTTGCTAAGATTCCTCTGCAGTGTGCTTTGCTGTTCACCTGGCCCAGCACATCTGTTTCTCCTGCAGAAGAGCCGATCTGTTACTTATGACAGTGTGATCAGTGTCCTTTTGCCAGAACCTTAAACACCAGCAATGAAGCAAAAAGACCCTGAAATGTCACTGACAGCCATGTTGGCTGCTTTGATGCATCTGCTATTGTTCCAGCAACTGTGTTCTAATGGAAAGGAGAATATTCTTATTATAGCAAGCTATAATTCACTGGCTGAACTCTCAAGGTATGCAGTGACCAGCGTAACAGCTTCAGAGCAGCAGCTGGGCCAGGAATCTGTTGGCTGCACCATTCTCTCAGCAACACAGGAAATAATTGGTTTTCCCATCTGCTAAAGTTCAGTAAAATGCTGCACTGGGATTAAAGCAAAAAGTGTTCTGGCAAGAGCTTGTACTGAGCTGAGATACCAGCATTTAGAACCCTGGTTTGCAAGGCTGAAAAGAAATCTATTCGCTGTGCTTCTGCAAGGGTGGTAAATACTAAATCATTTATTCGAGCTGGAACAGCTCTGGCAGAGGAGACTAAGACAGAAACTTTCAAATAGGCTGGTGGTGAGATCACATGTCTCGAACATGCAAGCAAAGTTCCTGGTGCAAGCTGAAAAGATGACAGACATCTGTCCTCCCTGGTCAAGGCTGAGTGTCCTTTCCGCTGCGATTGCAGGGATGATACTCTCTTGTGGTGATCATAGATTCATCCTGGAAGTGAGAAGCCTCTTCCTCATGAATATGGTGTCAAACCTCATGTTCACTTTTTTTAGTGATTTGGAATTTTTCAGCTTCTCGTTGAATTACACCCTGCTTTTTTCTGATCACTGCACCAGACTCTTAGGATGCTCCCAAAATGTTTGTGGTCATTAGGTGGACACGAGACACAAGAAAGTGTGAGACACAAGATCACTGCTGAAATACACTTTTTTACATGGTGTAACTATTGCCTTTGATGTTCTTCCTCTCTTTCATCCCTTCACATCTGCCACCATCATTGCTGGCTGACATGAGTGGTTTATGGTTTCTCTCCGCCTTCCCCCGTTACTGCCCTTAGGTGTCCACCGGCACATGCTTCCCCCCACGGCCACGGGGCAGCCTGGCACCCTGCTCACGCCGTGGGACACGCTTCTACCGCGACTGCTGCGGCAGCGCACCGTCCCCGGCTGCCTGCTACCCCGAGTCCGGCGTCTGCCAGAGCCGTTCCTCTGGTGCCCTCCAACGTCTTCTTCCCGAAACGACTCATCAGAGCAAAGCCCCGCTCCAGTGGTGCTCCACTGGGAACGCGTGAGGGACAGGCGCCGAGTTTAACTCTGAATGTAATCCACTGAGTGAACAGCGTGTCCTTGACTAAAGGCAAGAAGTCAACCTCGGCTGAGGAAAACAAGCTTTGTTACGATCAGGAAAGCAGCACGGCGTTCATATCCGAGTAGCTATTCAGGGCGCTGCCTAATCAAGAGTGTTCCCTGTAGAACCATTTTCACCGTAGTTAAAAGTTGGGATTACCAAACACAGAATGAAAAGTCATGATTTATTCTGTTGCCAGTTTGATACAGACCGCAATACTTTTATTCTGAATTCTTCTCTTTGTTTAGTGTCCTGGTTTCAGCTGGGATAGAGTTAATTTGCTTGCTAGTAGCTGGTGCAATGCTGTGTTTTGGTTTCAGTCTGAGAACAATGCTGATAACACACCAATGTTTTAGTTGTTGCTCAGCAGAGTTTATCCTAAATCAAGGACTTTTCAGTCTCTCATGCTCTGCCATTCAGGAGGGGCACAAGAAGCCGGGAGGAGGCAGAGAGAGGACCCCTGAACCAAAGTAGTCGAAGGGGTATTGCATACCACAGCACATCATGCCTAGTATATAATCTGGGGGGAGTTACCTGGAAGGGCAGATCGCTGCTCCGGCCGGGCTGGGTATCAGTTGGTGTGTGGTAAGCAACTGTATTGTGCATCGCTTGTGTTTTCTGAATTTTATTTCTCCTTCTCTCTCTTTCTTTCTTTTTTTTTTTTAATGTGTTATTGTTACTTTTATTTCTATCATTATTATATTTTACTTAATTTCAATTATTAAACTATTCTTACATCAACCCACAGGTTTTACCTTCTTTTGATTCTCCTCTCCATCCCTCCAGGGGTTAAGGTAGTGAGTGAGTGGCGGTACGGTACTTAGTTGCCAGCTGGGGTGAAACCATGACATTTGGATAAGTAACTTTAACAGATTCACTGTTTGGCTCAGACTAATCCCATACATAAATAACACAAAAATAACATAGATTGTACTTGTACATAGCTCTTTCTACAGTTTGTGCCTCCATGCAAATTTCTTTGTGCCAAGCAAAGCAACACTGTCTTTTTTTCCGGCAACAGCATTAGTCACATGAAAGGACAAGTCTGAAACAATCAAAGATTCAAGTCCAGAGTTTGAGGACTGTTGGGAAATGATTTACTGCTATACCTCAGTACTTCATGCTTGCTGGGAGGAAGTTCTGCACCCATGTTCCCTAAATATTTTGCTTTCTGAGTCACGCCTCTACCCAGGTGAAATATAAGCTGCAGTCTCTAGAGATACATTTGTTCCCCAAGAACTGTTTTCACCACTGTCTTTGCACTGGTAAATTACCAACAAGCAATCACAGAACGGTTGTCATCAGGGCCCTCAAGACATCTCGTTCAAAGCCCGCGCTC